GGGGGGGGGGTGCTTTCACATTTTTAGTATACACATCCTGTAAATCAGTGATTACCTGCAGGAGTAAAACAAATCTGATAAAAAATGCACTTTTCAATCACTATATTAGTACATGTAAATCGAAATCAGATTAAATTGCATCATTGCATGAATCATAATAATATACGTAAAATTAAGAGATTTAATTGTTTAAACTAATTTTGTTTTAAATGTAGGTTTTCAAGAAATTATGATAAATCATAAAACCTGAAAGAGCCCCTGGATCTGATTAAGGTATATTTATAGATTAAACAAGTTGGTGAAGGATTGTTTCAGGGTAGATAACTCTGGAGTTCTCATTAGCTTAACTTTGTATATAACAGTAATGCCTCAGTGATTAATGAAGGCAGCCTTTTTACATTATGTCTACTCCAGTCCCTGTTTCACCATGATAGCGAATATAAATATATAAATGTTGAGTTTTTTGTTATCCCATTTTGTTTAAGTTTTCATTTTATCAGGGACTTCATCAGCAATTCTACAGCCTGGAGGCTATAGTAGACCCATCACTAGGTGAGGTAGTGTTCTGGCCTCTCTCGCTAATATAAAAGATGTTATCAGTGAGTGAATTAAAGCTGTTATATGATCCTTCCACAGTCACTGTAACCCTGCCCATATAGACCTGTGAGCTAGTGAGTGAGAGAGACCCTGGTGCTCCCCAGTCTAACACCTCAGGGAGTGGAGAGGGGACCCTGGTGCTCCCCAGTCTACCACCTCAGGGAGTGGAGGAGAGGACTATTGTGCTCCCCCAGTCTAACACCTCGGGGAGTGGAGAACAGGACCCTGATGCTCCCCGGTCTAACACCTCAGGGAGTGGAGGAGAGTACAATGGTGTCCCCAGTCTAACACATCAGGGAGTGGAGGAGAGTACAATGGTGTCCCCTACCTAACACCTCAGGGAGTGGAGGAGAGGACCCTGATGCTCCCCAGTCTAACACCTCAGGGAGTGGAGGAGAGGACCCTGGTGTCCCCTACCAAACACCTCAGGGAGTGGAGGACAGGACCCTGGTGCTCCCCAGTCTAACACCTCAGGCAGTGGAGGAGAGGACTATGGTGTCCCCAGTCTAACACCTCAGGGAGTGGAGGAGAGTACAATGGTGTCCCCTACCTAACATCTCAGGGAGTGGAGGAGAGGACTATGGTGTCCCCTACCTAACACCTCAGGGAGTGGAGGAGAGGACCCTGGTGCTCCCCAGTCTAACACCTAAGGGAGTGGAGGAGGGGACTATGGTGTCCCCAGTCTAACACCTCAGGGAGTGGAGGAGAGAACTATGGTGTCCCAAGTCTAACACCTCAGGGAGTTGAGGACAGGATCCTGGTGCTCCCCAGTCTAACACCTCAGGGAGTGGAGGAGAGGACCCTGGTGCTCCCCAGTCTAACACCTAAGGGAGTGGAGGAGAGGACTATGGTGTCCCCAGTCTAACACCTCAGGGAGTGGAGGACAGGACCCTGGTGCTCCCCAGTCTAACATCTCAGGGAGTGGAGGAGAGGACCCTGTTGTCCCCAGTCTAACACCTCAGGGCCGGGAGTGGAGGACAGGACCCTGGTGCTCCCCGGTCTAACACCTCAGGGAGTGGAGGACAGGACCCTGGTGTCCCCAGTCTAACACCTCAGGGAGTGGAGGAGAGGACTATGGTGTCCCCTACCTAACACCTCAGGGAGTGGAGGAGAGGACCCTGGTGCTCCCCAGTCTAACACCTCAGGGAGTGGAGGACAGGACCCTTGTGCTCCCCAGTCTACCACCTCAGGGAGTGGAGGAGAGGACCCTGGTGCTCCCCAGTCTATCACCTCAGGGAGTGGAAGAGAGTACAATGGTGTCCCCTACCTAACACCTCAGGGAGTGGAGGACAGGACCCTTGTGCTCCCCAGTCTACCACCTCAGGGAGTGGAGGAGAGGACCCTGGTGCTCCCCAGTCTAACACCTCAGGGAGGGGAGGACAGGACTATGGTGTCCCCTACCTAACACCTCAGGGAGTGGAGGACAGGACCCTGGGGCTCCCCAGTCTAGCACCTCAGGGAGTGGAGGAGAGGACTATGGTGTCCCCAATCTAACACCTCAGGGAGTGGTGGACAGGACCCTGGTGCTCCCCAGTCTGACATCTCAGGGAGTGGAGGAGAGGACCCTGTTGTCCCCAGTCTAACACCTCAGTGCCTGGAGTGGAGGACAGGACCCTGGTGCTCCCCGGTCTAACACCTTAGGGAGTGGAGGACAGTACCCTGGTGCTCCCCAGTCTAACACCTCAGGGAGTGGAGGAGAGGACTATGGTGTCCCCAGTCTACCACCTCAGGGAGTGGAGGAGAGGACCCTGGTGCCCCCCAGTCTAACACCTCAGTGAGTGGAGGAGAGTACAATGGTGTGCCCTACCAAACACCCCAGGGATTGGAGGAGAGGACCCTGGTGCTCCCCAGTCTAACACCTCAGGGAGTGGAGGAGAGGACTATGGTGACCCCAGTCTAACACCTCAGGGAATGGAGGACAGGACTATGGTGCTCCCCTGTCTAACACCTCAGGGGGTGGAGGAGAGGACTATGGTGCTCCCCAGTCTAACACCTCAGGGAGTGGAGGAGAGGATCCTGGTGTCCCCTACCAAACACCTCAGGGAGTGGAGGAGAGGACCCTGGTGCCCCCCAGTCTAACACCTCAGGGGGGGGAGGAGAGGACTATGGTGACCCCAGTCTAACCCCTCAGGGAGTGCCGGAGAGGATCCTGGTGTCCCCTACCAAACACTTCAGGGAGTGGAGTAGAGGACCCTGGTGTCCCCTACCAAACACTTCAGGGGGTGGAGGAGGGGACCCCGGTGTCCCCTACCAAACACTTCAGGGGGTGGAGGAGGGGACCCCGGTGTCCCCTACCAAACCCCTCATGGAGTGGAGGAGAGGACTATGGTGCCCCCAGTCTAACACCTCAGGGGGTGGAGGAGAGGACCCTGGTGTCCCCTACCAAACACTTCAGGGAGTGGAGGAGAGGACCCCGGTGTCCCCTACCAAACACCTCATGGAGTGGAGGAGAGGACCCTGGTGTCCCCTACCAAACACCTCAGGGAGTGGAGGAGAGGACCCTGGTGCTCCCCAGTCTAACACCTCAGGGAGTGGAGGAGAGGAGCCTGGTGTCCCCTACCAAACACCTCATGGAGTGGAGGAGAGGACTATGGTGTCCCCTACCAAACACCTCAGGGAGTGGAGGAGAGGACCCTGGTGTCCCCTACCAAACACTTCAGGGAGAGGAGGAGAGGACCCGGGTGTCCCCTACCAAACACCTCAGGGAGGCGAAGAGAGGGGTATTTTGCCCCTGATCTTACACAGCCGCTGTCTATGGTATTCTCTACCACCTGAGGGATTGGAGAGGACTATGGTGTCCCCTACCAAACTCCTCAGGGAGTGGAGGAGAGGACCCTGGGGCTTCCCAGTCTAACACCTCAGGGAGTAGAGGAGAGAACTATGGTGTCCCAAGTCTAACACCTCAGGGAGTTGAGGACAGGATCCTGGTGCTCCCCAGTCTAACACCTCAGGGGGTGGAGGAGAGGAGCCTGGTGTCCCCTACCAAACTCCTCATGGAGTGGAGGAGAGGACTATGGTGTCCCCTACCAAACCCCTCAGGGAGTGGAGTAGAGGACCCTGGTGTCCCCTACCAAACCCCTCATGGAGTGGAGGAGAGGACCCTGGTGTCCCCTACCAAACACCTCAGGGAGTCGAAGAGAGGGTTATTTTGCCCCTGATCTTACACAGCCGATGTCTATGGTATTCTCTACCACCTGAGGAATTGGAGAATACTTTGCTTGTCCATTCCATCACAAATTGGAGCATTTACAGCTATATATTTATATAGCATTAGTTCCATCATGACGCCTTCAGTAGTTTCTGAAAAGAAGTAGTAACAACTTAACATGTAAAATCCAAGATGGCTGATTTGTGGCCATTTTGCTTGTGTAATCAATGTTAAACTGGAACACATAGGTAACAAGTACAAATTAAATGAGATCATACTCTTTAGGTTTCATCATGTTTTGTTGTGTGTTTTTTGAGAAATAGCAGTACAAAAGTTGTAGTATCATAAAAATATAAGGACAGATTGTAGCTGAATGGATGCCGGACAATGTGTAGACCAAAAAAATATTCAAACAGACCACTATTTGATAATGGTTGTAAAAGTGTGGTTTAGTCAGGGTAAACTGTGCAATATTTAACATCTAATCGCAATCAAATACATGTACTGCAATATATAATAATTTCAAAATTTGGCAATATCCACATCTAATATGAAGAGTTATATATCTAGTACTAGAGATAATTGTTTACAATCATTGTTGTACTTATCCCAAGCCAATAGCTGCAGGGACATTTATAAATTAGTGACAGGAACGTATTCTAACTGTAGATAGATTTTTGTGTGGCTAACAACAGAGTAGTCCACTTATTGGAATAAGGTCAAAGTTCAATGCATTCAATGATATGCATTACAAAACTTCAAAAAGGTTCATGATCTATTTTCAAAATTTGAATGACATAATATCAACAACTTCATGAGTTGGCATAACAGTAATATTTAAACCATAACTCTTGACTATCACAGCAAGTGGCAACACAAATATCTGTCTCTCAAGAGATAAATTGGAAAGCAACATCTACTGGTGGGATATTTTGTACACAAGGCTGGTGGGAATCATCTACCAGCAATAACCAGCCTGATAGTGGCAGAACTAGTGGTCAAACAGTGACAGGTTAATGGCAGTGGCCTGGTCAGTCAGAATAGTGACAATGGTCAAACAGTGACCAGTTACTGACAGTGGTCAGTCAGAATAGTGACAATGGTCAAACAGTGACAGGTTAATGGCAGTGGCCTGGTCAGTCAGAATAATGACAATGGTCAAACAGTGACCAGTTACATGACAGTGGTCAGTCAGAATAGTGACAATGGTCAAACAGTGACCAGTTACATGATAGTGGTCAGTCAGAATAGTGGCAATGGTCAAACAGTGACAGGTTTATGGCAGTGGTCAATCAGAATAGTGACAATGGTCAAACAGTGACAGGCTACTAGCAGTGGTCAGTCAGAATAGTGGCAGTGGCCATGGTCAAACAGTGACAGGCTACCGGCAGTGGTCAGTCAGAATAGTGGCAATGTTAATGATCAAACAGTACTAGTGACAGGCTACTGGTATATAGTGGCAATGTTAATGATCAAACAGTACTAGTGACAGGCTACTGGTAGTGGTCAGTCAGAATAGTGGCAATGGTCAGACAGTGACCAGTTATATTACTGATCTATATGACTGGTCAGTCAGAATGGTGGCAATGGTCAAACAGTGACAGGCTACTGGTAGTGGTCAGTCAGAATCGGTAGTGTCAGGGAGGTCTGTGTTATCACCTCAATATTGAAGGTTCTCCTTAGAAGGAGGAACTTCTAGTTCATACAGACATGCCTCCTCCTATGAACTGATGCAGACCTTTCTCAGCCTGGATGGGCAGTTACATTTTAAAGTACATTACTGGTGACTAAAACCTGACCAGTGTCAAATGTTACCTTTAAGTACAACAACATACATACTTAAATCTAGTCATGTTCTACAATCAATAGGGTCACTATACACACAGGTACCTTTAACCTTGGTCTGTGAGGTCACTATCCCAAAGTACATGTGACCTTGAAACAATTTATATAACCCCAAATTATTAAAAAAAAAATGTAAAATTTAAGCATAGCCAGGAAAGTTCGAAATGTGCATCTAAGGAACTACTGACATCAACACCTGGTAGCTTCATAGATGTCTTGTATACTTATACATCTCTCTGGGTGGGGGAAGGGGATAAAGGAAGTGGATTCTGTTGTGTTATGGAAAGGCAGTATAGACACAAACAGAAATTACAAAAATCTATTGTTTAACAAAATTTAGGGTTTAAAGATAAATCTGTCAAACTCTTCTTATTTAAGCACCACATACATATACACAAGTGTTCAAGTATCTGACATTGGAGAGAATTAGTTGTGATACTGAACATTAACATGCTGATTGACAGTTGAGATATGTACCAATATGTGTACTACAGGTAGATAGGTGAGTGTAGACCTGTGTGTTGTTGTAACACTACCTTACATATTTATACCTGTACAATAAGTGTGTATATACCTCACAGCAAACACTGTCTACCTCAGCACAACGAAACAAGCGTTGTTCTCTTAGTTTCATTTTGAATATTATTATCTTTTGAACATTATCAATTTTTACCCCTTTATTTTACCTTTAAATAAAAAATGTATTTCTTAGGGATATTTCCTACACAAATGCAGAAAACTTGAAATGAAACTGAAAATGTGGAACAGTTTTCTAAAACTCTTCCAAGCTAACCATACCTTTAGAATCTGGTCATATCTTACAGGTAAATTGTGTGTACAGGTAGGTAGGTTAGTCTGTTTTGGTAGGTATATATATCTGTATTAATCAAATTGCCTTGCCTCTAGCCTCCATTTGCTAGATTTTGATCTCTTGATACTGGTAGTAGTAAAGGAGTGTAGGGCTGTATCTGGGTCATTAGTAAAATAGCCTGCCTGGTCTAGTATGATTATCTTTAAACGTCAGCTGATAAAATTGAATGTTGTTGATACATCAATCTAAACTAACCAGTATATCCCTGGTTATCGCCCTCCACTTATGTCAACTACAATACAGTTTAGGATGGGACCGTTTTTATTGTACCCTCGATAACCCTCACTCTAGATCTGGACAGGGATTATCCTACACATTTTTCAAATTCGTTTTCCTTTCAAAGTTAATAAGCTACATAATTCTTGAACTTTGTTCACAACAAGTTGTAACCTCACCCCTACTTAAAGATTCATACTTGTTTGTTTTTCTCCTGTATTAAATGAAAATTACAAGTGGTCTATGCAAAGTTTTAAAATTGCAGAGACAACCATTTAAATTTTAAAAAATGTTGACCAGCACTACGTTCATATCACAAATATCTGACGACAACACTTACAGTATGTTTTAAGGTCACACATTTTACCCTAATTCTAGTGATGTAACCTTCCACAAACTCTAACCAAGACAGTTAACAGTATAATGTACCTGGAGCCCACCTGCAGAAACAGCATCCCGCACAAAGGCAAGATGCATTTTATATGTTTGAAGTATGAGGTAAATAAACTCCAGTATTAACATTCTGCCATTAACACATTCTTTGGATAGAGTTGAGCAGTGTGAAGTTTGTGCTTCGTCATGATCTAGTTCCCATCAACCCCTGTCTAATATGTCAGCTTGGACAGAATAGGTACATGGTTTTACAGATTGGTGGAGAGCCAAATTAATATATTTTCAAATGAAATTTTGGCATGAAATATAAAAAATAGTCTTAAAATTTAAGCTTGCATGATGCCAGAGTTTTGTGGCTGGATAGCACAATATATATGTAGAGCTGAATGTTGTTGGTGTTTAGCAGTTTACTTCCTGGCCTTGGAAGGACTGATCTTTACAGCTAGGTAAACAGGGCAATGGGTATACTCGTGTTGATTGGGTGAGATCCGTCACATCCCAGGCAATTTTCCCTCTGAATTCCTGTTTAATGTATTATGTATATGTTGTCTCATAAATTTTCACATCTTGTATTTTTTTATAGATGAATACCAGTTAAATAGCTTATTGAAAGCTATAGAATGGACGCAAACAAAAAGAAACTATTTTCAAATTTGGAAAAGCTTAAATTCAACTTCTAGAACAAAACTTTGACCAGGTCACTTTAACACTGATCCAAATGAATGGAAGTATCAACAACTTGACTAATAAATGTACTCATAAATGTTTTTTAATTTATAAGTGCTTCACCAAAAAAACTAGAACACTGACAGGTCAGTAAGGGCCCCGTCTTGTGGCAATATATCCCCATAATCATCAAGAAGCAATCTGCCCATATAGCTGATCTTGACGTTTGACATTTGGACTTCAAAAAGAATCGCAAGGAAGAAAAATATACATTTTACATGTACTATGATGTGAGTCTTGTTTCCTTCCACCTCCATATTTGCTGGGCTAACAGAAATGTAAATACCGGTGCAATACTCATTTGTTAGCTTTGATTTGTTTTATTTCACCTTATATACCTCCTACATCAAGAGCCAGGGTCAAAGTCAGAGATCCACTTTGTCTTTGACCTTTGGACCCAAATGACCTTGACCATTAACCTAGTGACCCTGAACTTTGGTCAGTTGACTTATTCTTTAATTACGATCAACTTTGCTTCTTGATATCATAACAAATTGTTCATCAGTGAAAAATATAAAACTTGACCTTGACCCTTTGGACCCCGTAACCTGGACCTAAGGTCAGTTGACTCCTTGTTTAATTCTGATCAACTTTGCTTCATCATGTCATAACAAAATGTTTATCAGTGAAAAGATGCAAATTTGACCTTGACCTTTGAATCTTATGACCTCGATCTTTGACCTCGACTTTTTACCTCAGTGTGTCCCTTTGTTTGATTCCGAACAACTTTGCTTCATAATGTCATAGCGAAATGTTCACCAGTGAAAAGCTACAAAATTTGACCTTTTTGACCCCTGACCCAATGACCTTGACCTTTGGTCAGTTGACTCCTTGTTTAATTCTGATCAACTTTGCTTCATCATGTCATAACAAAATGTTTATCAGTGAAAAGATGCAAATTTGACCTTGACCTTTGAACCTAATGACCTTGACCTTTGATCTTGATTTTTTACCTCAAT